CGGCGATGACTCTGGCTGCTCTGCCAGGCAGATCCTTGCGTATCCTGCCAACACTTCACTTCGCTCTTTGCTCTTTCCTTTGGGCGTTGCTTGCATTTTCTTTGGCATTTTGTGGCGCAAAATGATTTCATGTGAAGCGGTGATTATTTTCACCTAAAATGCCTGCTCCAAGCACCCCCCATCGCTGCGCTTGGCCGGAACAGTTGCAACTACAAGCGCAAGGATATTTATGGGCATTGAGCGTGTTCCGCCTCCTTGGGCTCTGGTCGCTCGCGCTCGCACTTTTCTGTGTTTCTGGTGTCTTTGGCCGGTCGTTCGTTTCGACTTCGATGGCTCCGTTTGTATTTATGTCTTCGTCTATAAATTCATGTCTTCAGTAGCAGACCGCGCAGACCGCCCCTGGCCTCCCCCCACCATTCACTTGCATCTTCATGTCAAAGCGCAGATTTATAATTTTCGGCTGCGTCGCCCAAGCGACGGCCAATGCAATGCACAAAATAATAAAAAAAGGAGAGGCGAAAAGCCACCAGCAAAAGGGAAAGGACATAGATGGCGAGGACCTTGCACAGCAAGTCACAGTAACGGGCTTTCAGCTCCAGCTCCACCTCCAGTTCCTGGCCTGGCCAAAAACGGGTTCGGCTGCGTTCGGGCTGTCGAAATCCATGAATTATGATTTTTGATTGAAGTTGAGTTATTGCAATTCAATTTATTATAAATGCGGTTGCTACTGCAAACCTTGCGCTCACCCTTCCTTACCCTCTCTCTGTCTCTCTCTCTCTCTCTCACATACGCTCCCTCTCCCTGTGTCTTTGTCGTCGCCTGCACAGGACATTGAACTATGAGTTCTTGGCGTGGCCAAATTTCCGTGTGTACATGTGTGTGTGTGTGTATGAACCGTTTTCGACACTTTTGCTAAATTTATTGCCGATTATTTTTACATTTCTTTTTCAATTTGTATGCCAGCACCTCGCTTCGCTTCGCCCCTCAAGCAAACGTAGTTCCTCTTCTTGTTCTTCTTTTTTTTTGGATTCGCTGCAATTATTTTTAACGTTTTTGTTGATTTTCCATTGATTATTTTATGTTCGTCTTGCCAGACAAAATATTATCTTTATATACACGTTCTTGCATGACATTCCTTCAGGCAGCTGATTGAAGTGATTTCGAATTGTAAAAATTGTAAAGCAAATTTCTTAGATGTCATTGAGTAGATTTCAGTTGCGCAAATGTTAAAAATATTTCTTAATATATATGGATTTTAAGTGAAATTTGCTTATATTAAACAGCAGAAGAAGAGTTCAAAATAGGATCGTAACAGAAGATGACAGAAGAAGATGTTAAACAAAAAGAGTGGAAAAGGAAAAGAATCGAACCTAAAATCGAATGAAAATCATTTAGGGAATCAATTAAGGTTTTAAATCCTGGAGCTCCTCCTTCTGTGTTCTACATATATTTTTAACAAAACTAATTCCTATTTTCAATGAGTTCAGAGTCTAATACAAAAATCTGAACTCTAGTAAAATGCAGTGAAAACAAATATGAAAATATTAAGCTTGCAGAGAGTTGCGGCAGTTAAAGGTTTTCTATCCATCTCCGTTCAATATATCATAATGCAGCTCCATTAGCAGCTGTGGATTTGTGCGGGAATCCATTTATAATGCTGCATATGCACGATGTCGACTATTGTCGTCTATCGGCTGCGGGCATAAATCAGAAGTGGAGCGAGTGAAGCGAGTGGCCGGGACATTTCTCATGCGCACACATGACTTGGCTTGCAATTAAGAGAAATATATTAGTCTCGCAGCTGATTTAATTATTTAACAATGAAGTCCAAAGAGCGCCATCGCGGACGCCTGCATAGCAAACAGGCCACGCCCATAAACAAGCGAAATGACCGGTTCCAGTTCCAGTGCCAGTTTCAGTTTCTGTTTCAGCTCCAGCTGCCAGCTCGACCCATCTAAGCGCTTCAGACAACCGCATCACAGTCAGACAAAAGCATCAACTGGTCCAGCCGAGGGTTTCGTGGGGGCTGAGGGGCTGGGCTTGGCTGTGTAATTGCAGCAGCGCGCATAATTCATATCAAATGACCATTTTAAAATCCTTTTATTTCGTTGCGTCGTCCTGGGGGCTGCGCAGGGGCGGGGGCCCGCAGCCCCAAAATATTTGAAATAATAATTCTTCGAGATAAATTACCCAAAAACAGGTGTGTGTGCGGCACTCTAAATTGCCCGAGTCCGGGTCCAGGCATGGGTACTGCTGTTGGTCGTAGTTCTGGTTATGGTTATGGTCTTAGTGCTAGCCTCACAGCGCGAGACAATGACACAGAGCCGCAACAACAACAACAGAAACAGCAACAGCAACAGCAACTAAGGCAGGCTATCACTCCTCTAACCAATCCCAGTGCCAGTCCCAGTTCTGCGCCCGGACACCGTTTCCCATTCGAGCTCGTGCGCTGGCAGTCGGTCAGTGGACAGTCGTCGAATGGCAGCAGCAGCAGCAGCAGCAGCAGTGGCGGATAAGCTTAAGTGCTCGCCTTCTGGCCGCTCGCTCCTCGCTCTGCGTTTGGCATTTAGCATCAGGAAATTATGCTGACGCTGCCAACTACGGGCCAAGCTGCGTCCATGGCCAGGGCAATCAGCGGCGTCTGCAGATGTGCATGCACATGTCCATGTCCCTAGTATCTGTCTCATATCTGCTGCTGAGTTGCTCTCTCTCTCTGCCTCACTCTCTCTCTCTCTGTTGCAACGCCCGCTCTAATGAGTTGCCGTGCCTCACCAGGGCATATGTTGTCCCCAGTGGGACACTGTGGCTGCCGAGCTGCATTTCTCGCTTGATTGCCAGCCCACTGTCCCGCTGGCTCGCCGGCTGCTCTGTCACACATCTGGGTGCAAATTATGGCACATTTCAAATACATAGCACGAAAATACACTGAGAGAAACTTAGAAAGGAATTAGGTATAATATAACCTGAAGTCTTCAATATTCTTTAAAAAATGGATTACAAATGTCGATGGCCATCAAAAGCTGCTGAAAGCAAATGTTTTCGTTCTCAAGTTAATTTTTCTAATATTATTATATTTTAAATTTTTTACCATCTGTTACAAAATTCTGATAAATTGTTTTCAGTGCAGTTCACATTGTAAAATGTGCCGAGCTCTGCAGCGAGAAAGAGAGCGCGATAATCGCATAAAAGTTTACATTTATGAATCTCCGGCTAGGTTCGGATAGGTGCAGAGCTCAGCGGCACACACACACTCGACACACACACACAGCACACATGCAGCCAGTGTGGCAGTCACAAACACCTCGGCCGTAAAACATTTGGCTGACGGCAGCATACAAAGACTGACGGACCAAAGGAAGGACGGACAGCTGTTTGCGGATAGAGAAGGCTTGGATATGGGAGGCAGCAGCTCGGACTAGGCGCAAATGCAATGTGCAGCACTAACAGAGCGAGAGAGGTAGATAGAAAGGGGGGAAAATGAGGCGGAATCTGGCAGGGACGAAAACAAAAAGGCGCGAAAATCCATTCGCACATAAAATGCGCCGCAGTGTGCATTATTTTAATGTCACTGATAAATCATTTTTATGTCGGTGCTAAATCAAAAGATGGACGAGCAAATGCCGTATTTCAAGCGTAGCAGCACGGGCACGAGTCTGCTCCTGGGGCATGGTGTATGACACACACACATATGCAACTGCAAGTGGTGCAAGGCGCAAGGTGTGCCAGCAGGGCGGGTCGGTGGGGTCGGGTCGGGTCGTTGGCGTTGCATTCGTCCATTAAAATGCGCTCCGGTGTCCAAAACACAAGCACAAAGGTGTGCTCAGCGCTCTGCAACCTGCCAGCCCACCTGCCCGAGCCACGTTTATTTATTATTAACACAAAAAAGACCCCCAGGACGAATTGCAGTTGCGAGTGAGCGAGCCAGCGAGGCAGCGAGCGCACAGCCTCCGGGCCTAGGACCCAAGCAGTGGCCCCTCCCCCCGTTTGGTACGCGCAAGTGCGCTGAGTGGCTCATAATTCGTCGTCGTCGCTTCTCCACTGCAGAAATTCATCTGTTTGTGGTTCAAACACGTGCCGTGCCAGAAATAATGTTCGCCAGAATCAGCAACGACTAATGGGACTACATAGAGCCCACTCCCCACCCACTGCCTCCACTTGCCACTTTTTGGGGCACACAAAAATACTTTTTTCTTGCTTATGTGCTAGATTTGTGGAATATATATAAAACAGCTAATAGGTAAATGCATATTTCAATAGGTAAAACTGCTAAAACGTTCTGAATGGAAAGTGAGAGTAAAGTGGAGTAAATTGCCCCGAAATGTATGCTATGGAAAATTAGTCGCTGCTGTGTGGGATGTTAAGTCGAAGGTAGGTATTACAATATATTGATATATATATACACAACATAGTTTCACAATATAATATAGTTTCATATGCAGTTGATATTATATTTAAATAAAAACTTTAAATATTTTTAATTCATTAAATTTTCCTCGCATTCCAGGTCAATCGAGTGGAAAGTTTTTCTTGACTTTCAGCAATATCATACGATTATCAGAAACCAAGAATCTTAAAGGCTATACACACATCCTGCTCATATTTTGTAAACATTGTCTGCAGGCCTGCTCAAATATTGCATTATATTTTCTTACAGTCATCTTAAAGTAATAATTAGAATTCCTGTTGATGGTGCTATTACTTTGTAAATTTGTATTATAAAATAGACAAAGCTACTACAAAATGCTATGGCTTAATATTAATAAATACAATTGAAGTATATGTATATACGATGGATAATGCCTTTTATCCCATTAGCATCTGAGAGCAGCAAATTATTCGCGTTGGCTAAAAATGTATCTTCCTTAAGTACACTTACTAGGACAAGCGAGACGGCTTTGTCTTTGGAGCAAAAATAAAAAATTTGAACTACATATATTTTATATATTTATTACATTATATATACATTAATACATTAATACAGGTAAAAGTAAAAGAGATAGTTTTACGCTTCCAATAAATATTTTAATTGATGTTATTATTTTTTATCGTTTACTTAAGGATTGTGTATATTTTCAGATGTGTACAAAAGATGTTTACACAGTAGTGCGCTCAGCTACTCTCTTGAGAACCTTTAAACCATTGAAATAATGTGTAAAACTTGAAAATTTTTAGAAAGTTAATGGGCTCTTCAATTTCATTTGCAGGCTAAATTCAAATTGCTTGGCTTCAGATGTCGCTGGTCTCAGTTGGGCCGCCGTTTAGGAAGAGAAAGACAGCTTGCGTATCAGAAATGGAGTTAACCTTATGGCAGCACAGAGCACGGCAAACACAATGAAGCTGGCCCGAACCTCGTCCTTGGCTCGCAGCTCGACTTGAGCCGGTTCGATTTGCTTAAGGCGCATCATGGCAAATGCTGCGAAAGACGGGATTCAGAACCTATATGATTTATGTTATGTATATATATATATATTTACCTATTTACTCAAAACGTTTATCGTGATTTGGCTTAATTGAAATTTTGAAGATTTCTTTTCGTTACTCGATTCTCAACAAACTGATTCACATTTATATGCTTAGACAACATTTGACACAGCATTCAAGGATAACATACCTATGTTCTCTCTCTATATATATATATATATATATGTGTGTAAAGGTGACAGCTGCAGATGAAACTTCATAAGATATATTCCTATAGCTTCTCCGACCTTCCAAGCTGCAGAACACCCTGTTATGGCTGCGATCATGCTGAACTGTTTTAGCTTAGTTATAACATAAATATCTTTCTATAAAGGAATCTCATTTCCATATAGAGATGCAATACTAATGGACATACATAATTCTGATTCCTTCTCTTCCACTCTCAAAGCTGCTTAAGCCTAACCTAAGACTAATTGACTAAACTAGAGAAAATAAAAGTGTGACCCACAAACAGGTGATGAAATTATGTTTGTGGCTCTTTCAAAAGCAGCGTTTAACTTCCACTTAAGCGTTGTTTAGATAAACAACAACAGCAACAGCAGCCCTAAGCTGCTGAAGGCTGACAAGGGGAATATAAATCAAATAAACAAACCTCATTAACATATTATCAGCATCAAATTGTGACACGGCCCGTCATTTTGGGTTCAAGTGAGAAATCTGTCACGAGGCATTAAATCGCTAAAGGCAGCCAACAAAGCCGCAAGACCAAGTCGATTTGACTTCTTAGAGCAGAATAAGGAAGAGGCGCTAATGGAGATGGAATTCCCGGTATCCGGGACACACACACACACAGGGATAATTATGCGTGTAAACAAGCGTGATGATAGCACGCTGACGTATGACGGCAAAGGTGACGCTCAAGGGTTGTGATTTAAATGGCGAACCACCTTTCCGGCTGATGAAATACTCAACTACTGCACAACAAATTGCCGAAAATTCCTCACGGGCAACAGCATCTGAAGACGCTGAAGGCGCTGAAGACTATCGCACCCTTCCGCCATCAACAGCAGCCGCTTGTTTTCCGGCTGATTTATTCGTGTTGTGTTTATGTGACTGTGTCTGTCTGTGTGTGTGTGTGTTGGCAACAATTAGAAAAGTTACCGCAGGATGTGCGCACAACACACACAGAAACTCAGCAAGTCAGTCTGAGTCGGAGACGAGGTCCTTTTGGCTGCCTTCCCTGTTCTGGGCCGTTGCGCTGTGCGTTTTAATTTGACGAAAGACTGATGACATCTCATTAATATTCATTGCCGCTGCAAGGCGCTGGGATTTGTGGCCATATATCCTGTTTATGCCCGACCTTATTCATGGCGCCGCCAAATAGTTGCTCTATGCTCACGCCTTTGCTGATTGACTTAGCTGCTTGGTCGCTTAGTTCTGCGTGGGAAAGCTGAGAAGTTAGGACTGAAATGAGGTTGAAAGTGTTTTCTGTGAGGCTACTAAATGACTGATGCTTGGCAATAGAACAGAGATCAGCTTGAACTGATTGAGCTGTGCCTATAGTCGACCTATCCACACTTCTATCATTAGGCCAACTGAAAAGGTTTTTATAGCTGCTGTCCTACACTTAGTGCAGCTCATCAGCATCATCTTGTTGTGGCCAATCTCGTTTTAGACATACGAATGCCCATATATTTAGCATATTTAAAATCTAACCGTAATCCACTTTTGTTTAGCAGTTTATGGTCCGGCCCGCAATGCCCATAAGTATCTCAAATTAACGACGACACTTCAAAATAATTATGAAGCACATGACGCCAGGCGAAGACAATGGGATGCTGGTTGCTGGAGACGCTGAAATGCCCGAGCATTTAGCTCAGGCAGCAAACGGTGTGTGTACTTACCGCTGGCACTTTTAAGATGGTGCCGTGACATATTTATGAAGTTCAATTATCATAAAATGCAAATGAAATCGTCATGCCCGAAAACGTCAACGTAGACCCCATCCTGACCTGCCCCCTGAACCGCACCGTGAACCCAAGCAGCACACGCTGCAACCCTAAGGCGCAATAAAACAAAACAAGTGGCAGGGCCTGAGCGAGGCCTAACAGAGACCAGGTAATGCTCCCCATGCCCCCGGTTGCGCCCAGGGGCTGAGACATGGCCAAAATTAAGCAATTTACTTGCGATATCCGCCAGCCACGCATCCCGCACTCCCCTTGACCCCCCGGCCCTTTGGCAGCTGCTCCAACTGGGCGCGAGACATCTACAAAGACGCAGACGTCAGCCAGAGTTTTGTGTGTGTGTTTTGGGTGTGGTGAATTTTATCTGTCGACTGGCGCTATTAAAAGAAATTACGCTCAAAACTAAATTGCGGGCCAGCACAAAAGGTGAGCTGCAACGGCAGTGAGGAGAGAGAGGAGCTGGTTGCCCCCGCCATTGAAATGAGAAACGATTATGTTGGGGGCCTGAGCCAGGCGAAGCATAAAGAAGCGACGAAGAACAACAGCAGAACTTTTTAACTTGTTTGCGTGTTGCTATTTACAAGTCCTGTGGGACATGGCAGAGTGCCGTGCGCGGGCAGGGGCAAGGGCACGGCCTCGGGTTCGGTCACACAGGTAGCACCAATGCCGCATTGCTGATGTTTGCGTTTTTTGTTTGCTTTGTTTTTGCTTATTTTCAGTTCGGTTTCGGTTTCGGATTTGGCGTTCGTCGTTCGTCTCGTCTCTCACTTGTCGCCTTTTGTGTTGGTTTCTCAACTTGGCGTTAGTTTTTCGCGGGACATATGCTTGGGCCGGGTTAGAGAGTATCGCTGCCCACGTTATGGTAATTTAGTGGCGCAATTTTGTGGAAATTGATGCTTGGGGCTGGAGGCTGCTGCTGGGTGGGGGCCATGCTGCTGGCCTGGATGTCTCCCCGTGCAGTCTAATTTTCGTCTTTTTAATATGCATTTAAATGTAGAGCCCAAGTTACGTATTCGATTTATAAAAAACAAACATGCTATAAACCCTTTTATTTGATGGAAATACGAAAAAGCGTTACGCATACGCCATGTGGCACACAAAATGTTGATGGACCTGCGATATCATATAAATAATATAGTTTATTAATGTGCTTAAATACAGTTTATATATTAAATGGGTGACAACCACCTTGAAGTGTACAGAAATCTATAAAAATACATAAAAATGGTCTTTAGTTGTGCAAGGTATAAATCGTAGCTTATTCTTACTTCAAACGTTCAGTTAGCTCTTCATAAATACACGATTATAAGACTTAGCCATCATACCAGAATTCTGCTCTTACTACGAGAAGTGCATCTTCTAGGACTGTTACAAGCAGCTTTATGGCCAAGTTCCAGACGCTGTGCACAATGAGTTCTGAGTCCATTAGCATAGCGCCGGTTTCGTTATATAGATATATGTAAAAGAGAAGTATCTGCTGAATTAACTTCAGCAAAAGAGTTGTGGTTACCAAAACGAATGTGTCCAGTGGCAGAAATAGCAGATCTCGCAGTTGGGTCACAATAATATTGACGGGCTTGAATAACATTGAATTAAATTGGTATAATAAGGCCATAATCCTTTTTTTTTTAATTTAAAATTATTTTTTAATATTTTCATTGTAAATAATTCCTGCCTACTATGTTTTGCAGTGGCTTGTTTTATTTAATATTTTTTGTATTACTTAAAAATATATACCAAGATAAATTTGTTTTCATATTATTTTTTTTTTCATCATATTAATTAATTTATTTAAATATATACAACAAATAATAATATTTTAACAAATGATTAAATTTTTTTTGCTCTTTATTTTATTTATGATTTTATTCATAAGATGCCTAAACCACTTGTATCTTAAGCTCTCGAAACACTCTGGCAACTCTTAACCGCTTTGTTATCGAGCATCGATACTTCAGCATTTGCATGTCGATATGTAACCCGAGTCTTTTTCTATGGAAATAGTAAAGCCCAATTGCAGTGAAGCTCAAATTGGACAAACGACTTGCCATTAATAAATAAGTAAAATTGAAAAACATAAAACTCAGGTGTGTTTTTAGCAAATTTGTTAATAAAACTGATTTTTGCAGTCAGCTTTTATTTGATTCCATCAAAATGACGTCGACTCCAAGACGTAGACGAAAAAATTCTCTGAAAATGGAGGCAAAATCGTCGCGCATAAAGTGGAAGAGTATGAAATCGCATCATGATCATGATAAAGAGATTAGAAATAAACGCGATAAACTGAGTAGGAAGAAAGAGTCACGTGAGTCTCCAGCTCGTGGCCGGCATGAAGAGGCCTCGCTGCAGCAGATGCAGCCGCGACAAGACCTGCCTTATACACGCAAGAGAAGCAAGCAGTCCCCACAGCCAGTCGATCTGGAAGATGGCGAAATATCTGACGAAGACGTTGAGGAGTCGCTGCCCATTTGTCGCTTCTATTTGAGCAACAACTGCACTTGGGGCAGCAGTTGCCGCTTCCGGCACCCGGGTAAAACAGATATGGGCAACTATGTAATGTTTGAGCGCGTTAACTTGCCGCTGCCGTGGATGCTGGACATGTATGGCAACATGAACAGCCTGCCGCCTGCGACAGACTGGATGGACTATTCGACGAAACATGAGACAGAGCTGGAGAGCTCATTTGAGAGAAGCTTGCAAAGCTTTAGGCAAATGATGCTGCAGGCTGGCTTTAAGGTAGGCAACGAGCATGGCGACAAAGAACAGCCTCTGGTGGAATACAATGATTTGGACACTGATCCCTACTACACGCAACAAGAACACGACGAGTTGCATGACAAGGAGCACCCACCTATGCTGGCTCGACTGCAATGTTTAAACTATTCTCCAAGCGGCTCGATCGGGAGCCGTCGTTTCCATGAGTTGGATAGGCAATCTAGTAGAAGCAGCAGTAGCTCATCCGATTACTCATCCACAACGAATTCGTTAAGCTCCTCCTCGCCAACAACACCTTGGCCAGCAAATCCACTCAAACGCAAGCCCTACTACAAGCTAAAGGGTCGCAGACTAAGCAATTACTCATCCTCGGCCAGCGATTGGTCTAGCTATAGCTCCAGTACACATACCTCTGAGCTGAGCTATTCTTCGTTGGATATGGATAGCATCACATATTATCCAAATTCAAAGAGAAGATGCAAAACATATCGAGAACCTCCGTTGAAAAATCGAAAAACTATCGGAAAACTGTCACGAAGAAAACGAAAAACTTAAACAGTTAAGTGAAAAATCTATTATTATAATACATTCAAATAAAATTTATCACCTCTCATAACAACTTCACTCATTTGCTAGTAATGCGATAGCTAACTGAATTTGAGTCTTAAATATTTATGACTTTACTTGAATTTCATTTTAAATTAAAAAATTTAACTTAATTTATTTTTTTAACTTTATTTTGTTTTTAAATATTTTTTTTATTAATTTATTATCTGTAATCTAATAATACATTTTATAAATAATTTAAATATTTTGTTTTAACTAAAAAATATAATTGAAGAATTTAAAAATATTTTTATAAATGTAAATTTGGTTTTTGATACTTAATATATATATTTTTTACTTTTCAATTTTATTTCCTATTAATAATATATAAATAAGAAAAATAATTAAATATTTGTTCATAATTTAATATTATTTATGCAATCGAAACCATATTATTTCAAGTTAATACTTAAATTAGTTCTAGATCTAAGCAATTCACGTATATTATTACAATCAGCAGTTGGCAGTAGCCGTAAGAGTTGCGATTGATAACTGTTCTTCCATTTTAAGGCCCAAGTTGCCTTAGCACCCTTGTTAGCTGGAATCCGTATACAAGCAGTTAGTCGTAAGCCCTTCCTGGGCGAAGCCACAAAATGTGCATTTCCCGGCAGTCACACACTGATTGCAATGAGAGTGTGTGCGTGCGTGTGTGTGTGGGAGGGTGTGGCTTCAGCTAATATCCTTGTTAATATTATTAAACATTATTTATGGATTTGTTTAATTTGTATTTAGTAACGCTTCGCATGCCAGCACCTTCCTGCCTTAGCCAGCAGCTGCTGCTGCTGCCGCTGCCGTTGCGCAAAACTTAAGATCTGCCTGTGGTCGACTGGCTGCCTGCTTGGTGTAGCTGCTGCACTGTTGCCAGCTGGGCCAACTGTCCGCATATCCTTGCCTTGGCTTCGCTGCTGTTGTTTGTTTTCCTTTAGCGCACGTCTTAGCCCGACATCGGTGCTTACTGTCGCGCCTTTGCCGTTGTCCTGGTGGAACAATTACATGGTTTTGCCTAATGAATTTATCTGCTCATCAGCATCTCCACTGCTCTCTGTGTGTGTGAATCCTTGCCAGCTGCGGACAAGGAGGGGAGTCAGAGTACATTTTATGTAGATTTCCTAACACAAATTATGTTCATTTGCCTGGCGTTGCATGTTCCTATCCCAGCTCCAACACCAGCACCAGCAGCAGCAGACACAAAGCTGCCTCCAAACTGAGTGAGAACTTTATGAAAAACCCGTTCTATGGTGACTTCATAGTCTGAGTAGCTGCTATATACAAATATATATATATATATCTTTCTATATGTGCTAGTAGCCAGATGTTTCCGCTGAAAATTAGTGGCCATAGCTTCTAGAGATGGAGCTGCTTTAGAGAATGGGGAAACAAGGCTTAAAAACTATTCAAATATTTCAAATAAAATTAGGTGGGTAATCTAAGGACATTATTAGTTATATATACATTATATATATGTATATTTTATAAGTTAAATTTGTTTGCCGTTCGTTCAGTCTAAGCTCTGCCGAAAGCTTGAGCTGCTCACACGTGACACGCAGCTTTTTGTTGTTCCATCTCTAGCGCAGACAACGCACACAATTTTAGTTTGATTGGGGAACAATTTTATTAGAAACTTAATCGTGATTTGTGGCCAGTTTTGTTGCTTGGGCAACGAACTAATTTATATATTAAGTTTTCATAAGCAAATAATGAAAATGAGTTCGCTGCTTGGGCAACCCGAATTGGAACAACATATACTATATAAAGATAGTTAAGCTAATGCTTAAACTCTTTTCTAAATTATTCATCATCATCAGCATCGTTGCTTTCGAACCGTTCATTGGTCAGTAAAATAGCATCGTTCAGATAATGATATATAACAATCAGAGCTATAATCAGAGCTTGAAGTAATTGCAGCTGCAAGAAAATGACGTAGAAAAGTAGTAGAAATATAAAGGCTGTAGATAAAAGTAATTTCCATATTTACCAGAACAAAATTGGCCAAATTAAAGCGCCAAATAGACAAAAATTTAAAACGAAATGAATTTGCTAAAATATCACGCATATTCTTGACAATGCGACGCATATGCTTCGGCAGAGCGCTGCTTCGGGCCAGTCTGTCACTCAGGCTCGTCCAGAAACGAAAGCGCTGAAAATGAGTTATAATATGAGTAAATAGTATAAGGAGCAGTCCTTGACACACCTGTTGCTCCAACATGGTTTGAGACAGCAGCAGGCACACATAGTCGCAGCCAATGCAGGCGTAGATGCAGGCATTGCCAGCATAGAAGATGCGCTGCTTGCGATCCTCGAAGAGCACGTGCCAGGTGCTGCTGTAGTAGACATAGCTGTGGATGCCGAAGAGCAGGCAGTTGGCATTGATGACCAACAGCAGCAGCAGCGAGTGCTGCATAGACTTAAAGAAGTCGTTGAAGTGCTTGGCCAGCAGCTGCAGCTGCTCGTACTGGCTCAGCAGATTGTCCACTTGGGTAGACGCTGCGCCTGGAGCTGTGGAGCTGCTGCCAGCCACCAGCTGCAGCTCGGTGCGTAATTGACTCAGGGTCAGCAGCTCATCCACGTCCGTTTGCAGCTGAGCCAAACGTTCGCGCGTTAGCCAGGCGAAGATGTTGTAGAAGCGCAGGGCGCCAGCGAGCACCAGATGAGGCAGGAACAGTGCTGCTCCTATCATAATGTCCTGTAGCGGCGGTAGCTTGAACTTCATTTCATAGCCAATATACAAGCCAAAGCAGAGCAGCACGACGAACGTGGAGCCTAGCAGGGCATAGGCTATCAGTTCCTTCGCAATGCAGCGACGCCCGGACGAGTTCGTCATAGGCAACGATACGGTCAACTCATTAGCCACGCCCACTGCACGCACGGAGGCGTAGATGGCATAGCTGAACACCTTAACGCTGAGCACCAACTGGAGGCGCGTCAGCCTAAACAGAAACGGGGAGACATCCAGCAACGTCTTCAGCACCGCCGAGCTCTGGAAGTGCTGAGCGAAGCAGCCAGCATAGATGCAGGCCAGCACGAAGATGTGGACCGCACCTGGCAGCGACAGCCGGTAGCGCTGCTGCTTGGAGTCGAACCAGTGCATCTGGTAGCCCGTGAGCAGCAGCAGCACATTGGAGGAACGCAGCACGCGCAGGTTATTCATGTTAGAGTAAATCGCTGTAACCAAACTGCAGCAGAGCGAACTTTTGACTGAGCTGGTCGTCTGCTTTGAAGCGGTTCATGGCACGGTTTCAGGCCTTATCTATGCAGCCAACTGTGACAAATATCCCAAAAATATTCCAATACAACAATTGAACACAAGTCAAGCGTTCAGCGTCAAGCCTCAAGCGTCAAGCGTCGCTCAAGCTGGGCAACTCGTGGCACTAAAGCTCAATCATTACGAGCTGATGATGCAGCAGAGTATAGAATTTTTGGTGGGAATAGTTTATAAGCATTTATGTATATTTATAAATATGGAATATCAGCATGAACAAGCATTAAAATGTGATGAGCAGAATTATCTTTTAAACAGCAAAGCTTTTGCTACTTAAATATCTTTGTAATTTGCACAGAAGCATTGAACGATTTAATACGATAGAATTAGAAGAGTTTTATATATATGTGTATATCAATTTTGCAGGGGAGTTTTCTTAAAAAAGAAAAAATCAAAACTGTGAATAAGGCTGAATAAGAACTATTAGTCATGATTGATCTATAACGAAGGCCTTATTGTGTTGCTACTAAAGACTGATAAACGTCTTAAAAAATTCCAAAAATATTGCTGTTCTTATTTATTTTATAATAGATTACTGAATTATTACTTTATTCAAAAAAATTTATTGATAAGTGCAACGAAATAACGCTTATTAGACACAGTTTCTCTTCCAGTTTTAAACAAAAACAAACACGCCTCGAGATGTGCTAGAAACTGAATAGACAAGACAAATAGATGTGAGGCGATGCTGTTGATTACTTAAGAGAAGAACTAAATAGCTATAAAGGCGGCGACTTAAATTAGAATTACGCATGAAATGCCTTTGTTTGGCCGTGGAGTCAACAGGTTAAGCGAATACCCTGTCAAAAGTCGTAAAGTTTCGGCAAAAAGACAAAGAATCAACGGGAGCTCAAAAGAGTCGCCGCACGAGTCGGCAGCTGGAGCTGGGGTTTGAGGTAGGAATTTCACATATTCCTAATTAGAATGTGGCTGCAGCATATCGTGTGCGGCATTTCTCAACATCAAACGCCTCGAGCTGGGCGTCCGTAAGCAAAGCCAAACAGTCGGCTAATGGGAATAGAACACGCCTCCGCGGGGTCTGTCAACAGCAGATAGCAAGCGGCTCTGATACAGCTACCTATTGTGGGCTTCGTTTCAGGTGTGCGTGTGGGTGTGGGTGTGGGTGTGGCTGCAGGTGCTGCTCGAGTGTCAACACAGAAATTGGAAACAATTATAAAAGGCAGCGCCGACGTCTTACGTACTCAAATATTTGCCAGTTTGTAAAATCTTAGAAAATGCACCAGATTCCTCCTGCTCCATGTGCAATGTCTAAGAAGTCAACTCAGTCTCACACATGGCAAACAAACTGAATGTGTAACAAATGAAGATTCAAGACAAAGGCATAATTATATCCATATCTAAGGCTAGATAAGAAAAATCATTTAAGCCGTTACAGAAACTCTTTTTGAATAGAATAGTTCGAGCAGAACTGAAAGAATATATATTAAAAATAATATATATTAAAAAACTTAATTTAATTTTAAATAGTATGAAAATGTGTTGAAACAGAAGATAAAGCTGCTAAAAGTCCAGTTTGAAAATATTTCCATGATGAAAAAGTATTTCATATAAAATAACAGCTGTAGAATATGAGATATATATATAAATTAATTCTTATTGCAGATATTTATGGAAACTAAATATATTTCTTATTAAGTATATCATCATATACAATCTATGAAATGCTAAGTTGGCTTTAGATATTTTTAACAACATGGAAGTATTATATAAAATGCGATCCGATTATATATAGTACAATTTTGGATTCCTCAAGTATATCATTTGATATAAAACATTTTATGAGAAGACATATTTCTGAAGAAACTATCTTCTCCCCTAAAACCTCTTATTAATTTTAACTCATTTTTTATCTTCTGTTTAATCTATCAAACATCTGAACTGCATCTATCTCCCCTCACTTACGTTTACCTATGACTATGCTAGGCAAATGTCTCTCAATTAAAATTGTATTATTTTTAAATAACGAAAACAGAAGTATTATATCTGTGTCAGCTTCTCTTTGGCATAAATTAATAAATTTCAATACTCTCCATGTGAGTAAGTGACCCACTCAATGAGTTAGCACCCACTTTTCACTACTAAACAGTGTTTACTGTGAACAGTTTCAATGTTCATATAAAGCAAAAGCAGAGTCAATTTTTTGCTGCTTAAAAGGCGAGTGAAGTCCGTTTGGTCAGCGGGTTTACAATTATCAATCAGTATTAAAGCAGCGCAGAGGGTCTGGGCGCGCGTTTACAAGCCATAACTCTTGGCTCTGTGTGGGTGGGGGTGTTTTACCTTTTTGGCTGGCGGCAAAGTCATAATTCAATAAATAAATGCAAGGATGACATGTGGACAGCGCCAACATATCGCATCGAATGCACTCAGATGCGCACGGCACCAACTGGGAGGCGGTTGGGCAGTTGAATAGCTCGACGCATCCTACGAATGAATGAAGTAAAATTTACGATCGTCCATTCGTTAAGGAAAACAAAGGGAAACCCCGAAAAGGGGGCGTGGACCTGCGTGTGTGTGGGCTGTGGGCTGTGATTATATGCAGTCTCGCGGAAAAGATGCCGCAGCAAGTGGCGTATGGAATACGTTAAGCCGCGCTCACCCCAGTCCCCAAAGCCGGGAGCAGGGCCAATGCAAATCTATTAACGTGCGTCCATTCGCACAAGGACATGCGTCAACTGCTGCTGGGGCTGCTCCTGCAGGCGGCGCATGCATTCAGCAGCTCAGCCCTTGCACAGTCACGCAGCGCGCTTTGATGGCCATCAGTTCCGCAGGATGTTGAAAAAAGAAAATTTCGAGCACAGGTAACTGATTGCGGCAGGTGTACTCAAAATCTGAAATGCACAAATAAAGCTGAAGACTAAAATAAATGTGAGCTTAGAATTGGGGTAGGAAATAAAGAATGTTGGGTATATTTTCATTGAGAGTATTTTCTCATAAATATTTTTTAAAATAAATTACAATTTGAATTATTTAAAATATATATTTTTTAGGTAGTTAAGAATTATGAATGTAAAAATATTTTGTCGACTTCAAATTTTGTTTATATATAATAATTTGAGTACAAGTGATGAAGGCTGATTTTAGCTTGATGTATGAATGAGCTTGAATTTATTTAAAAAATGTTAGCAATAGAATTTTTATGTATAAATAAAAATAATAATACTTTATAAGAGAAGTAAAATACTTGTTACATTTTTCTGTATTTATTTATTTATTTATTGTTTTTGAAAACTTGTTTATAGAGCCCATATAAATTGAAGTAAATATTAAGTTTATAATGAATCTTATATAAAATTAAATAATATTATATATTATTATATATTAGCTTTTGTTTTTCTAAATATCACAGTCTAGCTTTAATACCTTTAATTAAATTTAGATTCCCAATTTAATGAAAATAATTCCATCTATCAGTCCCGCTTTTTATCACTTAGAGAACTATCTTTATTTATTGATACAGAGACAAGAAATTTGTTTTGTTACTTGACTACCCCTAATGTAAACATGCACAACTTTATTGGGTATGAGAATTGGTTTTACCGTTACCCATTTGGCTGTTAAATGCGATGCTGACGATGATCCAGTTACAGTTCCAGATCCAGTTCCAGTGTCAGTCGCGTGGTAAGAAATTATGATGCATTTTTATGGATTTTCGATGTTTTTGCAGCCTGCAGTTTTTTGCCAAGGATTATGTTTCGTCAATGTATGTGTGTGTGAGTGTGTCCTGGAGTGGGACTGTTGCGTTTTTTGTCAAATGTGAAGCATCCTGTGCGGGCCTCTAGGTGGGGCTCTACTTTTTTCGCAGAAACTGATTTATGCTTCTTGACGGACGCTTTTCGCTTTTGGTTTTCGGTTTTCGGGCAATGCAAGTAGCAGTTGCCACGCCCCTGCCCCCACGTGAAGTGCAGCAAAAAATCAACGCTGTCCCAGGCGAAAAAAATTTATGCATTTTCATTGATATGCAAAGCACTGCAATCGGTCGCATGGGCTCGCTGCTGTTTGTTGGGGATGGGGGCGTGGCAACCAGCGGCCATCGAAGATGAAGAAGAGGCTGAACTTGTGTGCGCGTTTCCGTTTCCGTTAGCATTGCAACCAGCGGGCGTGTGTGTGTGCGTGTGTGTGGTGCGTAGTTGGACATGTTTGGCGTATTGTCGAATTGCATAATATGCACTTTTTCATCGGGCATCCGCAAAAATTTACAGCCCTACACACATCGATTTATTGCCTGACAATTGTGCCGAATCCAGCGCAACAATGCGAATGGAAAATGCCATCGAATGCCAATGGATTTGTGTCCTGTTCAGTCGTCCAAATGGCGCCTGCTTCAGCTCCAGGCTGAGGCTCAGCCTGAAGCCTGAAGCTGAGGCTGAGTTATGAGTGCTGCTGGCCAGTCGATTGAATGGATTCTACATGCAATTGTTGCTGCTGCTGTTGCTGTTATTTTTGGTCAAATTGCATCAACGAATTTCAATAACAATTTCCTCCGTTGTCCAACATCGCAGATATCCATCCAGTGACATTCGCAGTTCGCAGCTCGCCTGAAAAATAATGTTTTTAATATTGACAAACATGAAAAATGTGAAAACAATAATCATAAATTTTTATTAACAACAACAACGACACAGAGAACTTTCCATTGCCAAATGCAGCTGCCAAATGGTCGTAAAAAGTAATCACAATTATGCCACGCCCACATTTTTTGTTGAATTATTCAAGTCGAGTTTTTCAGTGCTTTTTGATGGACATTGATTGTTTATGTTTGTATTTATTGAATCATAGCTGATAAAACAAGTTAAAATTCATTCAAAATTATTCTCTGAAGATTTTACAGAGATTTTCAAGATTTTTTTTAGCGATAACAAAATAAAATT